AGCTCATCCCCTAATAGTTTGTTGTCACTTGTTTTGTGGTACTGGGAGTTGAACCTAGGCTATCACGCTCTACCACTGAGCCATTTCCCTAGCCAAGGCCCAATAGCTTTAATTACCCCTATTCAATGATGGTTCCAGAATCTTCTCTGCTAACTTCTTTTTTGAGACAAGGTCTCACTGTGTAGCCCTGGCTGGCCTGGAACTTTCTATATAGACCATGCTAGCCTCAAACTAACAGAGATCCATTAAAGACATGTACCACCACACCTGACCAGCCAAATTAATTATTGATTTTCTGGTATTCACTACCCTCCTCCTCTGTCCTTACTCCCATAAGATAGCACATGTACACACATGCACACATGTACACACACACACACACACACACACACACACACTCCAGAACAGACACTTGTTATCTTTCTTACAGTTCTCGCTGAGTTACTGAGTACAGTCTTCCCAGATGTAACCAACTAAAAGCCAACAGACTTGTCTACCTTTCCCTCTTTCTCAACATCTCCCATGGTTCACTGGCTATTAAACCTTGAAGATTTGTCTACTGCCAGGTGTGGTGTTGTATACCTTTAATCCCAGGACTCGGGAGGCAATGGCAGACAAAGCTCTATGAGTTTGAGGCTCCCTGGTCTATGTAGTGAGTTCCAAGACAGCCAGGGATATGTGGAGAGACCCTATCGCAAAAAACAAAATAAATAAGTAATAAAACTATTACTTCCCTTTGGAGACCATTAAAGAAAAGATTTGTCTCCTAAGAACATCTTAGTGAATGTTGACCTCTGGCTTCCTGGAGTAGAGCTCTGCAGTTGTCTTTGTGTCTGTCTCTCATTCATTTACTTAACACCCACTGGGCTGAGGATGCACACTGAGCTAATACTTCAGTGTGTGTAGGGAACTTCCTCAGTGATTGAGCCTCTGTCTGCCAAAAGCTTGTGGTCTTGCATATGAGAGGAGAAGCCCACATAGGCTTAGAACAGAGTCAACAGAAACACTGCTAGAAACGTGCTGGAGACACCCTGGGACCTGGATGGGGAGCCCATCCCCAGCCTAAGGAGAAGCCTAAGGCTTCACAGCAGGTAAGACTACCTACCATGAGTCCAAAGCTGTTGCCACCAGCACTGGATAATAGTGCTTTCTTAGGTAAGGTTTTATTATTGAGATGGTCACCCTGTCCTTGGGTTTCTGAGGTGGTGGTACACCCTCTCTTCAGTACCACTGCAGTTTTTATCTGTTTTTAAGTAAGATGGTGAGTCCAGTGGAGGTACCATGGTATGGTCACAGAAAGGGCTCCACACTAGTTAATGGAAACCCTTACTTCCTGCCCTTGCCACCAGATGGCGGTCAGACATTTAAAAGACTTAATGGATTAGCTAAAACACCAGAATGAGTTTGAGGCCATCCTGGTCTACAAGAACTAGTTCTAGGACAGGCACCAAAGCTACGCAGAAAAACCCTGTCTCGAACCCCTCCCCCCTCCAAAAAACTGAGCTGACGCTTTAACTCTAGATGTGTCTTAAGTCCTATTAATAATTAGCAATAGCTCAAGCAGCTAAAAGAGTTACTGATAATCAGGCATGGCGATACCTGTAATCCCTGCACCTGAAAACTTGAGGGAGAAGGAATGGGAGTTTGAGGAAAGCTTGACTTAAAAAAGGATAAAGAATTATTTACAATAAATGCAGGAATCTTTTATCTAAGTCAAATATTGTAAGTCTGTAAAATCAAAATGGGCATAGCAGAATTTTGATGAGTTTATCTACATCTCTAAAGTGATACATGTATAATTTTTAAATGGTTTATTTATTTGTTTTATGAGCATTGGTATTTTGCCTGCATGAATATCTGTGTGAGGGTGCCAGATTCTCTGAACTGGAGTTACAGACAGTTGTGAGCTGCCGTGTGGGTGCTGGGAATTGAAACTGGGCCCTCAGGAATAACAGCCAATGCTCTTAACCACTGAGCCATCTCTATAGTCCCAGTCAAAACATATTTTTAAACTACAGAATGAGTAAAGATGTAGAAGTAGTATGTATTGGGTCTGGAGAGATGGCTCAGAGGTTCAGAGCACTGGCTGCTCTTCCAGAGGTCCTGAGTTCAATTCCCAGCAACCACGTGGTGGTTCTCAACCATCTGAAGTGAGATCTGGTATCCTCTTTTGGCCTGCAGGCATACATGCAGACAGAACACTGTATACATAATAAATAAATTTAAAAAAGAAATAGTATTTATTAGCATTAATGGTGCTTCTGTGTAAAATATCAAATTTTCATTCAACATATTCAGGAAACCCTATGCATGAAAGGTCTATCACTGAACACGAAGAGAAATAATAGCTGCCTGGGGAGCATCTCTACACTCTGCAGGTGACATCAAGGAAGACAGCTTTGTCCCTTTTTCTTCAGTAGTTTGCAAACTCTCTGAAAAGGGCCCGTTTATTGTCCACTTTAGGCTAACAGAAGATATGGTCTTTGTCTACTCTACTCTGCCGTCATAGCATGGATAGCATAGCATAGCCATGTGAGATACATAAGCAAATGGGTGTGACTGCCCCTCCGTAAAGCTTTATAAACAAGTGGCAGGCAAAACTTAGCATGCATGCCATTGTTTGCCAAGCGGGGAAAGTGGACTCTGCAGCTATCTTTCCTTTCTGTTCTCAGTCTGTGGCTGCAGTCAAATAAAGACATTGAATTAAATGACCTCTGATACTTGAGGCTTTATTTCTTTTAGTGCCCTTCTCTTGGGCTAAGCGATCACAAGACTGACCTCGAAGTGATATATTTTTCTTACTTATAAGGTCAAATTTTAAAAATCTAGCTTGAGCCAGGCGGTGGTGGCACATGCCTTTAATCCCAGCACTCAGGAGGCAGAAGCAGGTGGGTCTCTATGAATTCAAGGCCTACCTGTCTACGAGTGAGTTCCAGGACAGAGCTGCTACACAGAGAAACCCTGTCTTAAAACACAAAAAAATAAAAAAATAAAAACCTAGCTTGAACAAATTAGTAAGCCTTAAGGCAGAGTTCCTGAGAGTTGGTGTGATTACATTGACATCTGGCCTGTACCTAGCAACATTTATGACCTCTACTCACTAGATGCTAATTAGCACCCCACCCCACTTTCCATAACAGAATACTAGTCCAGGCATCAAGTCCTCCCAAGGAGGCAAAATCACCCCTGATGAGAGCTATTTCTCTACAGACTACTTTTTAATGTTGATTTTGATTACTTTGTATGTGTTCATTAAGCTGGTGAGCCCCAGTAGGATTGTATGAGATGGGTCCCGGTAACCCAGGAGCACGGGTGAAGAGAGATGTAAGCAGGCTTACTGTTGAACACCGAGAGCATATTTACTTTTCTGCTATCTGTATTAGTCTACCAGCTCTAGCAGAAATAACTCATGCTGGAGGAGCTCATTATCCCACGTAGGCCTGGGCTTTGTTGATTTTTTTAGCCTACTTACTTTTTCTTTAAAGGAAGAGTTCTCCTGTGGCTTATTCCTACAATAGGATAGTTTGAGGCAGAGACAGTGAATGCATTGCAGCCTCAACAGCAATGTAGGTAGACCTTTTGTCTTTTGGCCCTTTGAACTTAGTCTTACACTGTAGCCCAGACTGACCTGAAACTCATTCAGTAGTCCAGGCTGACTTCACACAAGTGACAAACCTCCCATAAGCCTCTCCACTGCTGGGTCACAGGCGGTAGTCACGAGGCCTAGAAAATCTTTGAGGCTACTTTTCCAATATTGGTAATGCTGGTCTTTTTTTACCTGTTTATCATGTTCCCACACACACACATTTTTTTCTTTTTCTTTTCTTCTTCTTTTTTTTAACCCCAAGACAGGGTTTCTCTGTGTAACAGCTCTGACTGTCCTGGAACTTGCTTTGTAGATGTCTAGCCTGGCCTTGAACTCACAGAGATCTGCCTTCCTCTGCCTCCCAAATGCTGGGATTAAAGGTCTGCACATCACACCTGGCCTCTCTCATGGTCTTTTAAGACAAGTTCTCAGAGCTCACTGTGTAGCTCAGGCTGGCACTGGACTCGAGATCCTCCTGCCTCAGTCTTCCAAGTGCTGAGATTATAAACAGATGCCACCGTGCCTAGCTAAGGCCCAGTCACTTAGCTGGATTTGACAGTAAGGGTACATCTGATTTCCCTTCATTATTTTATGGGTACTCATTATGTTAGTCTTTCTCTTCCAGTTATGAATGGTACTAACTCTAACTCATAGCTAATAAGCCCTGAATATCCAAGTGGTTTTGGACAAGGAGTTTTCTTTGGTTTCTCTTATTTTTTAAACAATGATTTAATACAGTGTGGGTCTTTCTGAACAACAATCTAAGCCTTCTAGAAACATTAATTCTGACCTCAGGTTCTGCTTTTGACAACTTCCGTGGTCTAGTGCAGTAGCTTCCCCCTGCCAAGGGGTGCTTTCCCTCTGGAGAAAGCTAGGGAGTTTCCCGGACTCTGGTTACAAGAACACTAAATGAAAACTATCTTTGAAACTTTGTGTAAAATGTAGATTCTGTCATCGGGTGGGCTGGGAAGTTTGGGTGGTTCCACTGCACAGTCAGGTTTGAGAACAATAAAAGGTAATGTCCGAGGTCACACCAACTCTAAAATGTAGTGGTTACAGGAAATAAATGTATGTCTCTGAGCGTCTTTTATTATGTTACTTCCTAGAAAATATTTCATATTATAAAAGAAAAATTGAAATGCATACACTGTGATTCCCTTCACACATACACCTTCACACGTTAGTGCATCTCACTTAAGCTTTGTCTGCTTGTCAAATGTTAGTCTGTAGCTCAGATTGCTCCCCACCACCTGCTGGGGGACGGTTCCTCTCTTAACTAGAAAGTCCTTTCCTAGCATCTGTGTTTCAGCCTTGGACTTAGAAAAGAGTGATATTCTGATTTCCATAGACTTCTAAAGTGGAATAAAATTAGAAATTCTGTCTGTTAATTTGTTTGTTTTTCTTTAATTTACAGAATGCTCTTTTCAGTTGCATTAGCAGAAATGAAAGTAAGTATCTGTCCGTGATTGCACAAGCAGTCCAGAGAGCAAGACATTGTACAGACATGGTTAGCAGTCAGAACTGATTGCTCAGTTCAGGGTGCCTCCATCTCCCAAGTGCCGTGTGATGATAGGTCTGTGCTTTTATTTATTTTCCAAATAAAAAATGCAGTTACTTGCCTTCAAATAACCTTGTTCTGACTTTGAGACAGATTGTATCCCTTGTGAAATGAAGGATGACAGTATAGGAATATTCTTGTAAATATTTAAACTGTGTAGAAAATTTTGAGATTTCCACAACCTTAGACAACAATGAGGACCCTAAGAGAGACATGCATAGAGCTAATCTACATGGGAAGTAGAAAAAGACAAGATCTCCTGAGTAAATTGGGAGCATGGGGACCTTGGGGGAGGGGAGAGGCAGAGAGGGGAGCAGAGAAAAATGTAGAGCCCAATAAAAATCAATTAAAAAAATGACTACCCACACATGCGCTTGGTCCAGCTTAAAAAAAAAAAGCCCTTTATTATACTCAAAAAAAGAAAATTTGAGATTTCAGTTTCAAAGTATATATTTGTTAATTTTATTAACTTACTTGCTATCTCTTTGTTTTTGCTGGTCCTATTTTATAAATGTGAGGCACTGTGATTTTGTTTTCTTTGTTTGGTTTTGCCCCGTCTGCAAATCTCCACAAGTGCAGTGGGAAAGAGGCTGTCTGTCCCATGCTCTCAGCATGGGCACTCTGGACATTCTGGGAAGCAGCTTTGGTTATGTGACACTTCTAGGGGCTTTGGTGTACATTAGTAGCCCTGACATGCATTAAATGCCAGTGTGTGCTCCCAGATTGTCATTACAGCCAGAAACACTTAAATGTGCATCTGCCCTGCTCCATACCTCACAGGGATCTAGTTGACTAGAGAGTCTCGGTCATGAATGGTGACTGTTATAGATCGGTCAAAGATCAGTCATGGATTGGATCAATGAGCCCGTGACAGTGCCCTGTGCTCCTAGTGTTTATCGAGTGTTTATCATCTCCGGGACGGCTCTCCTCGCATTCAGAAAGGTGCACTGCTGATCACTGGGGGCTGAGTTCACACTAACAAAAAGTTGCTTGTATCTTAGTGTCATCTCTCTTTCCATAGTGGGCTCAGTGTGCTGCAGTTACGCAGGTCATCACACAAACTGCAGAGAATTCTGTCAAGCCATTTTCCGAACAGACTCTTCTCCTGGTCCATCTCAGATCAAAGCCGTGGAAAATTATTGTGCCTCTGTTAGTCCACAGTTGATCCACTGCGTGAACAATTACACCCAGTCTTATCCCATGAGAAACCCAACAGATAGTAAGTAAAAGGGATGGATTCTTCTCATCTCAGTCTTTGATAAAATGATCCACTCAAAAATTGATGCATTGATGTAGGATTCTGTGCTCAAGTTCACTTGGGAAACACCGAGATGCCTTTGGTGTTTGGGTTTAACAGACTGGATATACAATTGAGTGATTTTCACAGCTATAAGGTACCAAGAAAGAAGAGAATGTGGAGACCATGAGGAAAAGGAAATTCTGTTTTGAAGACAGGAAGGGTCTTTGGTATGGATATTTTGATGGGAAGCCAGATCATCACCATTAGACTATCAGATAATATCTTTTGACCTGGAAATTCCATCTTGTCATTTGTACACAAAAACTTATACAAATTTGCAACTAAATAAATAATAGTCTGTACATATGCATAGTGTATATAAGAAAAAAATTAGAAGTGACCCCAATATGCATCAGTAGGCTATTCATTGTATTTCGATGCAATAGTATTTCTCTATACTTCACAACTAACAAAGAGGAGGATGTTTATACAGAAAGTCCAAGGTGTGTTAAGAAAACAAAGCAATGGCCAGGCGGTGGTGGTGCATGCCTTTAATCCCAGCAGAGGCGGGTGGATCTCAATGAGTTTGAGGACAGCCTGGTCTCCAAGAGTGAGTTCCAGGACAGGCTCCAAAGCTACAGAGAAACCCTGTCTCAAAACAACAACAACAACAAACAAAAAAAGAAAACAAAGCAAGTTTCAGAACTGAAAGTATAGTCTTAGTTGTACTCAACTGTTCCACACTGTATATTTCTATGATGCTGGAACTTTTATCAATGAAAAGTTCTTACTTTAATAATAAAAAAAAATCTTAAAATAAGAGAATGATATTTTTGAAAAATCAAGGCCTCCTAATGAACCTGTCCTATGATGTCTTCAAAACACCTACTTTGTATATTCTTAAATTCGTTCTGCACATCTAGAGATGATCAGATTTTAAAGAACTGACTGGTCAACCAGTGTGGCAAAAGATCAATTTATAAGCCAGATGCTAGTGTCTTGCTTTATACTGGAATATTGTAAGACTCTTTTATAATCTTGAAAGCGATGTGCCTTGTTTGGTCCTAATTGAAATCAGAATCTGAGGCTTCTGACATTCTGTGATGTGGCAGTGTGGTGAAAATCAGAGATGTGGCCTTCATGTATTTCTAAGCAGATCTGTGTTTTCTGACATTTGGACTGCACTGAAGTGTTGCTGGTGGTGAGGAGATAGAAGCTTTAAAAAAAGGCAGAAAGAGATAGAATAACCTCCAACTTCCGTCCTAACACAGGAGTCTAGAAAAGAAGGCTTCAAACTGAGTGTGTCTTCAAATGCAAATACCTGAGAAAACTACTTGAGAGAACCCTTCTGAAGTCGATAGCCTGATTGAAAGTCTTCTTTCAGTTTCTAGTTCTTTGTAGAAAATTAAAGGCTGGGTGAGTGGGGCCATAGTTTACAGGCAAATCATGGCTCATTAGCATGTTTGAGGCCCTGGTTCAATCCCTATCATCAAAAAAGAAAAGAAAATTAAAGGCAGAAATAAACTAAGATATTGTCAGAGTCCATATTATTTAAATTACAATGTATAAAAAAATTACAGTGTATATTAATTAGCCTCTACAGACTTACAGAAGTCTGTGGTGTCCTAGGGTATGATTAAGTGGAATGTTTTTAACACTGTGGGAATTAGTCATCAGTCTTACATAAAAGAGCACAGTCCACTAGACACAAGCAGGAAATGAGCCCACTTTGATTTGTGGTATTTTTTCCAAGAACACAAAGTAGTTTACATGAGGCCTTCTTAGGTGTGGGATGACTTTCATTTTGTAAGGATAGTTCTAGAAAGCTCATGACTGGGGAACTGTGGTGAATTCTGGGAAGAGATACGTTGCACAGCTTGCACTGCAGGATGATGGAGAGCTGAGGAGGCCCTGTGTGCTGCAGAAATGTGCGGGGAGGGCTATTGTTTTCCACTTGCTCCCATGCTATTTTCTGAGCAGTGTGTGTTGTAAACCAGCTAATAAAGCGCTTATGTTCTGAATGCAGGTTTGTATTGCTGTGACAGAGCTGAAGACCACGCTTGCCAAAATGCCTGCAAGAGAATTCTCATGTCTAAGAAAACAGAAATGGAGATTGTTGATGGTCTCATCGAGGGGTGTAAGACCCAGCCCCTGCCTCAAGATCCTCTCTGGCAATGTTTTCTTGAAAGCTCCCAGTCGGTTCACCCTGGAGTCACAGTCCACCCTCCCCCCTCAACTGGCCTTGATGGGGCTAAGTTGCATTGCTGTTCTAAAGCAAACACTTCAACATGCAGGTTAGTATCTCGTTTCCCTTTATTAAAATCAGGAGAAAACAGGATTCTAATTGGTGATTTCTAGCAAATGTGTTATTCTTGTGTTGTCTAGGCTTAGCATTTGAAATATATAAAATCTGACCTGGGGACTATAGATCTGATAGAGGGCTTTAGCAGATACAAGGCCCTAGGTTCAATCTCAGTACAACAGATAAATAGAAGATATAAAATCTTTAATTCTTTTTCAAATTAAAAAAAATATAGTTACTTTATGTGTGAATGTTTTATCTGCACATCTGTACATGAGTGCATGAGTGGAGCCCCCAGAGGCCAGAGAGGGCACCAAATCCCCAGGAGCTGGAGTTACAGATAATTGCAAGTTGCCATGTAGGTGTTGGGAACTGAACCGGGGTACCCTGCAGGAACAGTAAACCTCTTCACCACTAAGCCATCTCACTAGCCCAAAACCTCTCATTGTTTTATTCAACAAATATTTACTGAAGACCATTTAAGTCAATACAGTATTTTAGGACCAGTAAGGTCACTTATCAGGTAAAGACACCTGCCACCAAACCAGATTAATTAATGAAATGATCTGAGTTTTCTTGGGGTTTACATGATGGAAGGAAAAACCAGACTCTCAAGTTGTTCTCTTATTGCTATACATGCATGAATACACATGCACACATACAAATAAATATAATTTAATTCAAAATCTGATGTGTATGTGTGCTTTTCTCACATGTATGCATGTGTATACATATGTGCCTGGTGTCCACAGAGGTCAGAAGAGGTCATAGGAGCCTGTGGAACTAAAGTTCAGCCCTTCAATTTTTTTTATAAAACAAATACTGTTTTAAACATTGAGTGCAAAAAACATTATATTTGGGGGTATGAAAGATTAGCCATTGAAGGGACAATAAATATTTAAAGGTGATACAGTATTAGTAAGCATGCAGTATGTTGGGCCTGGAGAGATGGCTCAGTGATTAAGAGCACTTGCTTACTACTATTCTTGAAGAAAGCCTGAGTTTGGTTCTCAACACCCAATTGGGTGCCTCACAAGTACTTGTAACTCCAGCTGCAGGGGTCCGATGCCATTTTCTGGTCTCTGATGCACTTTACTCACGTGTGCAGACATATACTTATACATATAAATAACTACTTAGAAAAATACGTTTTGAGCTGATTTCTAAGAGATAGTCTCTTTATTAAATTACAAAATTTTGGGGAGGGGAGTGCAACTCAATTGGTAGAGTACTCACCTTGCATGTACAAACTCCCAAATCCCAAATATCATGTGAACTAGTCACAGTGATTTAACTCTATGATCCCAGCATTTAGCAGGTAGAGACAGGAGGATCAAGGTCAATCTCAGCTACATACTAAGTTCAAAGCCAGCCTAAGCCACACGAAACCCTCTGTTAAAAGGAAGGTACTTTGAAGTTAAAGTCTTTTGTCAAATTAGAACAACCTTAGTGGGGTTGGCATCTGTGTTATGGGAAATTATGTCTGTGTTGGGAAGGAGGGTCTGTGACAAAATATCTACCATAACAAATGGGAGATTTATTTTGGTTCACTGTTTCAAAGAATTCAGTCCACAGTCCCCTGGCTCCACTGGCTTGCCCTGAGGAGAAACAACATCACAGTGAGGGTGTGATGGATCAGAGTTTCTCTTCCAGTGGCCTACTTCCTTCAGTTAAAGTTTCTACTAACTCTCAAAATAGGGTTGTCAGTCAGGGACCAGTCCTTCATCACAAAAGCCTGTGAAGAATTATCTCACATCCAAGTCATAGCAGCGTCAATTGAGTATTACACCTAGGCATAAAAAAATAATGTGTGAACAGAGAAAACTGTAGAGATTTAAAAAGTGAGTGGCAATACCTAAGATCATGATGAGTAGGCTTGTCTTAAGTTACTTTCTATTGCTGTGATAAGACACCATTGCCAAGGACCTTACAGAAGAAAGAGTTTCAGAGGGTTAGAACCCATAACTATCACGGTGGGGAGCATGGCAACAGGCAGGCAGGCATGGTGCTGGAGCTATAGCTGGGAGCTCACATGTGAAACACAGTTATGAACACAGTTAGAGAGAGAATGGCATAAGTCTTTGGAAACCTCAAAGCCCCTCTCCCCAGTGACACACCCCTGTAAGTGGAGGCTGCTTGTTTGTTCCCAGCTACCCAGACCATGAAATAATCACTCAGAAACTGTTTTATTTACAATACTGTTTGGCCAATAGCTTAAGCGTATTTCTGGCTAACTCTTATAGCCTAAACTAACCCATCTCCATTAATCTGTGTATCGTCATGTGGCTGTGGCTTACTGGGTAAAGTTCTGTCCAGCATCTGTCTCCAGTTGGGCAACATGGCTTCTCCAGACTCCACCTTCTTTCTCCCAGCATTCAATTTAGTTTTCTCCACCTAGCTCCATTCTGTCCTGTCTATAGGCCAAGGAAGTTTCTTTATTCATTAACCAATAAAAGCAACACATATACAGAAGGACTTCCCACACCACACCCTCTCTAGCAAGGCCATACCTTCTAATTCTTCCCAGAAGTTCTACCATCTGAGGACCAAATGTTCAAATATATGAGCCTATGGGGGGCCATTCTCATTCAAACTACCACAAGAATGTAACAGAAGTTTGAGTTATTAGAGGTATTTTGTACAGAAAGGGGCCAAACATTACTAAGATATGCTAAAGGGAAAAAAAGATACCATACATAAAACAACTCTTTTTAAATTGGATGGACCATTACAAAAAGAAACTGTGTCTAGGATAATCCATCAGACTTTACCAAGGATACAAAAAAATCAAGCAAAGACAATTAAAAGGCTTAATTGAAGTAAAGCTGGCCCTGTGACTACAGAAATGGATTCTGTATAGAAGTTAATAAAAGCATTAATGAGAGGGACACTGAATTGTTTTTGAACGTCCACAAAAATAAGTTTATTTCTGCATTGAGTTGCTAGAGCTTGGGGTGGTTTTTGTTGCTGTTTGTCCTTTGTCTGTCTGTTTTTTGTTTTGGTTTTTTAAGACAGGGTTTCTCTGTGCAGCCTTGGCTGTTCTAGAATTTACTCTGTAGACCAGGCTGGCCTCAGACTCAGAGATCTGCCTGCCTCTACTTCACAAGTGCTGGAATTAAAGGTGTGTGCCACCATGTTCAGCTTGTTTTTGGTTTTGAAGAGTTTTATTGTTTTTGTTTTAACATTTATTTAGGAGGGTCTGCTATGGTTCATGTGGAGGTCAAAGGACAACTTGAGAGTCAGTTCTCTCCTTCTATCATGCGAATCCCAGGGATTGTCAGGCTTGGCAGCAGGCCCTTTCACCTGCCAAGCCATCTAACAACTCAGGAATAGGGGGTTATGGTTTGCTGAACGCTTTCCATTTCGTCAGACTTGATCTTTCTGAAACCTTATGAGATAATTGGGGAAATTTGTATAATTTCTATTTTAAATGTTAGAAACTAACTCTGAAATGTTGAATAATCTGCTCATTGCAAATATAGGAAGTCAAAGAGGAGAGAAAATACTGGCTCCCTTCTCCTCAAAATGTGCAAACTCCCTTATGAGCCAGGTCTGGTCTGTGATACTGCAGCTCCAATGCCTTGAACAAGCACGCAGATAAAACAGCACTCGTGAACACAGGGAGAGTGGACACAGATCCCTTCTTTGGGACTTGAGAGATGGTCAGTGGTTAGGAGCACTGACTGCTCTTCCAGAGGACCCAGGTTCGATTCCCAGCACCCACATGATAGCTCACAACTGTCTGTAACTCCAGTTCCAGCAGATCTGATGTACTTTTTCTGCCAACATTAGTATCAAGCATACACATTAAAAAATAAAACAGACACAAAACTTCTTCATAGGGGTATTTATGAGAGTCAAATAACTGTGAGGACAGTGGAAATACTTACAATTTTGTATATTTCAATGATGTCAAATTTTTATAGTGAACATATATTACTTTTATAAAAACTAATAAATCCAATGTATAAAACCATTTTAATGACCTACCAGTATTGCTTATCTGTAGAAACACTTGTATTGCTTTGCAGTTGTCAAATCCTGAAGATCAAAATGTCGTGTATCAACTGTAGTAATGTGTAGAAGATTTGACTATCTTAAGGAATATAAATGGTTTAAACAAACTTTAATTGTAAACTCCATGCCCATAGTTTCTGATTCTATGGATTGAACCTAAGGTCTTAAATACCCTGGACACAGTCTCACACTGAGTTACATCCATAACCATTAAAATGCTTTTGTAGAGGAGAATTCTACCTCCTCTGGTTAGCATAACTAGGGGAGATTATACCTTTGTGGAGGTAAAACTATGTGCTTTACTGTAAGTACATACTGAAAAAAGAAGGAAAATAAGAAAGACATGAGAGAAAATAATTGTACCAGAACTAAGAATGTACAAAACACCTTAAGGGACTGTAAAATGTAGTGTTTAGCTTTCTATCAGTCATGCCAAAGGGGGTTGGATGGTTTGGGTTTTTTTTTTTGAAATTTATTTATTTATTGAAGTTTATTTATTGGTGGAGTGGGGTAGGGTGGGCACACATGCCATGAATCTCTGTAGAGTTCAGAGGTCAACTTTGTAGTTTATTCTCTCCTTCTGCCTTTATCTGGGTATTGGGGGTCAAATTCAGGTCCCCAGGCTTATGTGGTAAGCTCCTTTACCCACGCCACCATCTCTAAGTACCATTCTGTCCCATGGATGATTTTTTTAATATACACATTGGGTTACATTTTTTGTTTGTATGGCGTCTTTACCTGCATGCATGTCTGTGCACCCCATGCAAGCTTAAGGGCCCTCAGAGGCAAGAAGATTGTGTTGGGTCTCCTGGAATTGGAGTACAGGCAGTTATGAGCTGCCATGTAGATACTGGGAATCAAATCTGGGTCCCCTGGAAGAGCTCTTAATTGATGAGCCACCGCTCCAGCCACCCATGGATGATTTTTGAAAGGCCATTTTTGTGGAGAAGATTGCCTTTTCTGCCTCCAAATTCCAGGAGCTAGTTAGTTGTCCTTTTTCTTTGTGTCCCTAAAGATGAAGTTAATAGAACTGGAGTTTTGCACAGCTCAGATACTCATTGGGCTTCTCTCTAACGTTCTGCATTTATTCTCTTCTTCCAGGGAACTGTGCATGAAACTTTATAGCATGAGCTGGGGGAACACGCAGAGTTGGCAGGAGTTTGACCGCATCTGTGAATACAATCCGGTGGAGGTGTCCATGCTGACATGTCTCGCTGATGTCCGGGAACCTTGCCAGTTGGGCTGTAGGAACCTCACTTACTGTACGAACTTTAACAACAGGTAGAAAAAGTGTTATATATGAAGATGGAGATGCGCTATCATTCATTTACTTGTTTTCAGTAAATGCTACTTTCTGTTGTGCCCTTCTGGGGTAAAAGAAAGCTGTATTTCTTTTTTTTTCTTTTCTTTTCTTTTTTTTGGTTTTTCACGACGGGGTTTCTCTGTAGCTTTGGAGTCTGTCCTGGAACTAGCTCTTGTAGACTAGGCTGGAGATCTGCCTGCCTCTGCCTCCCGAGGCATGCGCCACCACCATCTGGCGAAAGCTGTATTTCTTTATGATTTCATCTTGAAATGTTCTGTCCCTTCAATGTGGCCCCTAGAAAGGAAATATGTTTGCAAAGTCTCCTCTAACCTAGAGATGCCCCAAGCTTCTGGGACTCAGAGACTGTTTGGGGCTTTCCGTCCCTTTTCCTCTCTGCACCAGTGGAAACTGCAGAACAGGTCATTTTTGTGCTCTGGACGCCCTTTTCTGTTCTCTTCAACCACTGAGATCTGTTCCAGGCTCGGATCTTGGCCCCTTTCCTCCTCTTACTATCCTTGTTATCTCAGGATACTCTGATTTGAATTGTTCTGTAAGTAATATCTTTAAATTAGGCAAGTGAGCAGATGGTGATTGCACCAGCCTGGTCTACATAGTGAAGTCAAGGACAGGTAGAGCCACATAGTGAGCTTCTGTCTTGAAAAAAAAAAAACAGCAACAAAAGGGACAATAATTCCAGTTAATAAGTATGCCACATATGTGGAATTGCTAAGGGAATAGACCTACCACAAAAACAGGACAGAGTATTTGTATTAGTATGCATTAGTTTTATATAGCCACTCCACGATATATATATATATATATATATTTCAAAACATCATATTGAATGCCGTAGAGTTAGCAGTTAAAAGTGCTTTTAAAAAAGAATGTATATGAAAAAGCTAGTCCTGTGAAATATGAATTAGAACATCTGTGAATACTTCCTCAGACCCATTAGAATGGCTAGACTAAAAGACTGGCAAGTGTGCAGAGTGTGTGGGTTTTCACTCTTTCCTGCTGGGTTAAATCTGTGGCCTGTCAACTCTGTTCTGAAGTGTTTATTCACCCAAGAGACGTGAAGGCATATGTCCAGGAAAGTCTCTGTGCCAGCATTATCTGTAATCTCCCATACTGGGAGAAGACTCCAAAACATCATCAGGGGGATGAAAAAAAAAATGACAATAGTTCCAAAAGTGGAGTGGTTTACAGAAGGACAGCAAACTCCTAAGACACTCAAATATGAATGAGCTTACATCCAGCAGAGGAAACCCACTATTCTCTGTGCTTTCAGACATATGAAGTCTAAGAATAAGCAAAAGTAGTCTGTGGGGATAAGGACCAGAAACCCAGGATCATCAGGGAATATCAGCGTGGTAGAAATGCTCTGTATTGTACACAGTTCTTGCCTTTGGGGGAGAGTGTTCATTTTTGAAACAGGAACTCGGTGCGTATCCCTGGTTATTCTGGAACTCCGTATATAGACCAGATTGGCTTCAAACTGACAGAGATCACCTGTCTCTGCTCCTGAGTGTTGGGATTAGAGATACACACCATCCACCACACCCAACTTGTGTAGAGTTTTCAGTTACATAGCTGGGTACAGTCTTCAAACATTGTTGAACTAGATTCCCAACATATACATTATAATGCATATGATTAAACTCCAGCAAGTTTTTGTTGTTGTTTTATTTGTTTGAAACAAGGTCTCATGTAGCCCAGGCTGGCCTCAAACTAGCAATATATCTGAGTCTGGACTTGAAATCCTCATCCTCTTGCCTCTCCTTCCAAATATAAGAATTACAGGAATGCACTATAATGGCTGGCTTTAAAGTAGTATTTTATATGAATTTAATTAATTTTTTTCCTCATCAAAAAGTACTACCAGACACTAAACAGAAAAACCAAAGCTTTGCAGAAAGTATTTATACGACACATGTCTGACAAAGGACATGTCTGTAATGCATGAAGACCCCTTTAATCAGCTTCAACTTTTTTCTCAGATTTTTTTATTTGTATGAGTGTTTTGCCTGCCTGTATCTGAGTACTGCAAACATGCAGTGCCTGCAGAGGCCAGAAGAAGGCATCAGAGCTCCTGGAACTAAAGTTACAGATGGTTTTGAGTCACTACATGATGCTGGGAACTGAGTCTGGGTTCTCTGCAAGAGCAGCCAGTTCTCACCTCATTGAGCCATCTCTCCAGCTCTCAGCTTTATTTTAAACATAATTTCTTTATTGATTCTTTGGGAATTTCCCAATTTAAAACCAAACCAAACCAAACAAACAAACAAAAATACTTGTTTTGCTCCTCCATCTTTCCTGCCTCTCCATTTGTCTTAGTGGCATTGGGAGCCACTGTGTGTCACGCAGTAGACCCTTTAGTCCTATCTGCTTTACTTGCAAATGTTTCTGAGTCCCTGGTCTGGTTCAAGGCCTCTGGTGTCTGGTACACCATCATCACTGGACCCTCTCTGAAACCCCTCTTGGCCCCCAGCCATGGAGATCCTGTTGGTATCCTTCACATGCTCCAGTAGGTCATAGATGAGATAGATGTTAGAGTGCAGCCCTCAACTTTTTAAAGGGCCAGAAAAAAGCATTTCACAAAAAGTAACATTTATTGGGGCTGGAGAGATGGCTCAGAGGTTAAGAGCACTGGCTGTTCTTCCAGAGGTCCTGAGTTCAATCCCCAGCAACCACATGGTGGTTCACAACCATCTATAATGGGATCTGGTGCCCTCTTCTAACAGAACACTGTATACTTAATAAATAAATAAAATCTTAAAAAGGTAACATTTATTAATAGATCATAGCTAACAACAAAAAGGAATAAAATACTTGTATATACAATAACATGGGGGTAAATCTCAAAAAGATTATGTTTTGATGGCTATTCCAGGCCCCTCAAATAGAGTATGAGTTTGCTTATATGAAAATCTAAAACAGGTTAAAGTAAATGTGATGTTCTATGCATGAGGAGTGTAAACCACAGGGTGATTTGGCAGGGCACACAGGAACTGTTTGCTGTGGTGGAAATGTTCCATTGCAAGTTTACATGCGTTTCTAGGAGCAGCTATACATTTGGCAAATCACATTGCATTTATAATATGTGCATTTTGTTTTTTATTATACCTCAGTTTTAAGGGCATAGACTCATTTATTTTGTGATATAAAACGAGATGGTCTGGGAATGTTAGTCCTTTCTAAAGCACCTTGAAGTTTTAAACCGCTTAATAAGAACTCATGTTAAATTAAAATATGCAGTCAATGACTTAATGCCACATTGAGCTTCAGATGCTTGTGGCCAGAAATCTATGATGAGTTTCATGCGCTCTCTCTTTAAGAAAATCAATTTTTCTTACTGTTTGAATTTATGAAGATTTTATTCATTGCTTCTATCTAGGAAATAATTTGTCTCAGTTCCTTCTGAATTTCTTTTTCAGGCCAACAGAACTTTTCAGGAGCTGCAATGCTCAGTCTGACCAGGGAGCCATGAATGACATGAAGCTGTGGGAGAAAGGAAGCATAAAGATGCCCTTCATCAGCATCCCTGTTCTTGATATCAAAAAGTGCCTGCCAGAAATGTGGAAGGCCATCGCGTGTTCACTGCAGATTAAGCCTTGCCATAGTAAATCCCGAGGAAGCATTATCTGCAAGTAAGTGGGTCTATCTCTGGTGATGTGGTGTGAGCTCTGACCTCCCTGATCTCTGGCAGAGCCTCTCTTTAGGACTTCCTCCCCTGTGCCCCTCAGCTTGAAGTACCTACCTTCTTGCCTGAGGCCCGCCCTGCTTGGCTCTTGTCAAATACCAGACATTCCTATGGAGTCTTCCCACATTCCATTGGCTGATACTAACTTATCCTTGGTGCAAATTCCCATAGAACTTTGTGTGTACTTTATTATGGAATTGAGCTTAAGGAACAGTTTCTAAATACCGTCAGTGCACTGTTATGCTTTATGCTTTACATCTTTATTACATTTATTTTCATTTGTATACCTGTCACAGAGTGTACAGACATCAGAGGACAATTCGAGGATCCCAGGGACTGAATTCAGCCTTCACAGCAGGCACCTTTATGGCAAGCCATCTTGCTGGCCCCGTATTTATACTTTTAAAAGCACTTTTACATTAGAGAGAGTGAGGGAGAATCTGAAAGAATAAGATACCTCGGTGAGAGTGTGGTAGCTTCCTGGGATCAAGCTCAAGTTGTTCTTCAGGCTTGGTGCACAGCACCTCTACCCACTCGGCTATCTCAGGCTCTTCTATAGTTTTAATTGTGTTCTTGTCTGTTTGTCGTAGGAATTTACTTTCTGGGCCATTGTCTTTTTTCCTCTTTGCTCTTTCTCCTTTGTAGCATGATTAATAAAAGCCTAGAAACAGAAATTGGGAGTTCAACTTGAAGGTCAGAAAAGCAAATCAGCCAACCACTGGCTCTTACCTATGCCTCAGTCCAAAATGGTGATCCTGCCTCCAGGAATCTCAGAATGAGACTGTGTCTATGAGCTGTCTCCTCCCATTTTATATTCCTCTCTAGGACTGGGATTAAAGGCATGCACTGTCTGGTTTCTATGGCAAACTAGTATGGCTGCTGGGATTAAAGGTGTGTGTTACCATATCCTGGTCTGTAAGGCTGACCAGTGGGGCTATTTTACTTTTCTGATCCTTAGGCAAGCTTTATTTATTAAAGTACAAATGAAATGCCACTACAGTCCTTTGCAGCTCCTACTATATATTTATTATTATCCTGTAAATGCTTGATGAGCGAGAGGGTTAGTGAGTAGCCATTAGGTCCTGTTCCTAGTAAACAGTTTGGAATGGTTTCCTTAGGAAATCTAAGCAAAGCCAAGATGGCAACTGCCCGAGTGGGTGAAGCCAGAGCGCTAGCTACACGGGGCCTCAGCTGCTCTCTAAGCACCTGTTTTCTAAGACCAAGGTGGTACTGAGCCCTAAACCCTTCGTGTGGGGCTCAGTTCACATTAACAGGGTCCAGATCAGTTTTTTTTTCCTTATTTGATTTAGTTTTGATTTTGGAGTCTTACTGTGTCACTCTGTAGTCCAGGCTGGCCTTGAACTCATGGCAACGCCCTGCCTTGGCCTCCTGAGCTCTGGGAGTACAGACAGGAGCTATCATGCCTGGCTCCTGATCACTTTTCTGACGTGACTTGAGAATGAGCAGAGTAAGGGAGAGGCTGAGGTGTAACTCTGAGAAGGCCCCAGGTACTCTTAGAAAACCTTCCACCAGGGGACCAGACCCTTACTCAAGACTAAAGGAAAATAGTAAAGGGTTATTTATTTAATGTGTGGGAATATTTTGCCTACATATATGTATATGCACCACATGTGTGTCAGGTGCTCACAGAACTATATACCTCTGGAAACATACATCAGAAGAAGACATTGGATCCCCTAGAACTGGGGTTGCAGGTGGTTTTGAACCACCATGTAGGCACCAGGAACTGAACCCTTGTCCTCTGTAAGAGCAGCAAGTACTCTTAACTGTGGAGCCGTCTTTCTAGCCCCTAGACTAAGGAGAGTTTTAAAGTCGTTAAGGCCTAGCACCTTGATGTTGGTGACTAGAAGGCATTCGAGTGAGAAGGAAGCAAGGGAAGCAGCTGACAGGGCCGGAGACTAGGGCTGCCTTTGAAGCACGCTAGCCTAGCTCAGCTTCCTCTTAAAGGTGGGAAAAGCTACACCATGCTTGGAGCAGTAACTAATTTTTGAACAAGGCCTTTGATCTCAGATTACAGGAAGTTAGCTTTGAACTTGCTGTGCAGCTGGAAGGTCACCAGCCTCACTCCTGACCAGCTGGGGGAACTTGCTAAAGGAAAACTCCTCTGGAGAAGTTTCAGAAACAGTCCTGACCAGACAGCAGGAGGCAGTGCTATGAACCCACAATGCACATGCGTTTTTCTTTTAAGATCAGATTGTGTAGAGATTCTCAAGAAATGTGGAGACCAGAACAAATTCCCTGAAGACCACACGGCTGAAAGTATCTGTGAGTTTCTGTCCCCTGCAGACGACCTGGAGAACTGTATCCCTCTGGATACGTACCTCAGTAAGTAGTGTGTGGATACGTACCTCAGTTAGTGTGTCGGCTTCAAGGGCTTCTCTCACCCCTGCCCTTGCCCTTGCCTTAGATGAGATCCTGTGTGTGGTGCTGCCAGCCCCATTAGGTACTTCTCTTGTGGCAGAAATACTCACTCAAAGCATTTTAAAGGAAGAGGGTGTATCTGGCTCACAGTCTGAGGATACGAGGGCAGCATGGTGGCAGGGGTATGAGGCAGGAGATCTGATTGGGAAGCAGAGAGGTGATGCTTAGCTCACTTCTCTTCTTCAACCCAGGACCCCAGTTTATGGCATGGTGCTGTCCAATAGGGAGGGTCTAATCTCTCTCTCAGGAGTCCAGAGGTTTGTCTCCTAGGTGATTAGATCCTGTCAAGTTAGCACTGTCATCTTAAAATTTGTAAGCAGAAGTTGTATTTTATCTTTCGGAGGAAGTATGAACTTTTTACCAGTCAGGAGTTCTAAAGAGCAAAGTGGAGGACAGCATTCTCAGAAATCATTATTTCTCATGATATCACCAGAACATTAAACTTCCCCTAGGAAGCTGTCAGCTTTTGTCATCAGGAGCTGAGCCCGGCTGAGTTCCTAAGGGAAACGGAGCTTGCCTCACTACTTGAGCTTCTTCCTGCCAGATGCTTCTGCAAGAGAGCTGGTCCCTCATGAAGGGATTCCAGGAGCTCAAGACAGCAGAGAGAGCAGTGGGAAAAAAATTAGTGTTCCGGCTGCCACCAGGGGGCAGCAGTGCCGTAAGCTGGCTGGCCAACAAGAAGCCTGCTTGCTGCCTTTCCCCCTTATGATTAAGCCCAGCTGCCGTTAACAGAACTGATGGAAGCACAGAAAGCCCAGAGGGAGCAGTCCAGGATGTTTCTGGTGGCATCAACACCAGGAATCAGGCCTTTCACCTTTCTCCGCTCTGCTCAGATTTACTTCATGGACTTTACCTTCACACCATGGCTGCTGACGTTTTACCCAGCTTACTGTAGTTGATAAATGGGAAGAAAGATGAGAAGCAACTTCTTAACTTCGGGACACCTGTAATTGTATGGAAAAACTCAGATGGGTGATCTTTTTAGCTTTGGACCCATGACCCTGAATAAAATTAAGAATCGATTAACAAAAGAGAAGAGAGGGTGGTGAATTTTTAGCTGGCAGTATCTGTTAGGTTCTCTCAAGATAAAAAGACCATGTCCCCTAACTTTTGTGACCAGTACTGAAAAAAGAGCATTCAAGGTGGGAACCCCTTGTGGCCTGGGAAGTTCTCCTGGAAACCTGAACAGAGTGGTGGGGCCGGTGAGCCGCGCCTGCAGTTAGTTCTGCTGAGTCTGAGTGGGCTGAGCATCAAGGAAGCAAACCAACGTGTTCATAGCCCTAGCGGCTTAGAGCAGTGGGGTCTGCAGAGGAGGCTGATTCAGCAGGAGAGACCCGAAGGGTGCTCTAGTTTGAACAGCAGCGCTCTTTAAATCACAAGCGCTTGAGTGCTCCTCTTCCTCGACAGGGTTTCAGAAGGTAAATAGAATTATGTTCTGGGGTTCATGTTGATGTAATTATCATTTAATGTCCTTCACAGTGCAAAAGTATCCCTCCTTACACATAAATACATGCTTGATTGCCATATCCCAAAAATGTCTCATCTCTGAACTGCTTACCACTTAAGTTACATGAGTTATCTTATTTCTTCCAGATATTAGCCCATGTTAGCTTCTCTGTTTTGTCCACTACTATCTAGTACCCAGGATCTTCTAAGTGTATTGGAGGTGTCCCATTAGTAAATAAGTGCTTGGCTGTGTTGTAATAAACTGATGAATGATGAGGAAATCCAGTGTTTAGTTAGGGCTTGTCAAAATCAGGCCTTGCTCTGTGCCTGTGAGCCCTCCATTTATTCAGCCACAAGGAAGCCAGATAACATGGAGACTTGGTATTTATTCTTTTAGATTGGTACACTGATCTGTTTGGGGTTTTTCAGGGCCAAGTGCTTTAGGTAACATCATAGAAGAAGTGACTCATCCCTGTAACCCAAATCCTTGCCCAGCCAATGAGCTCTGTGAAGTGAACCGAAAAGGGTGTCCGTCTGGAGATCCCTGCCTTCCATATTCTTGTGTTCAAGGTAAGGGATGGAGGCTATAGGAGTGAGGTGGGCATGGCACATGCTGCTGGTATTTTCTTATTAGAGTTGTCATTACACCCAGGTTGCAGGGACTTTTTCTGTATTTTCCTGTAATGTTTAAGCATTTCCCATGAAAAATGTATTTATTCAAACAAAGACACATAGAAGTTGTCATTTCAATTGTAGGCTGATGCTGTCAATGCAAGTTATAGGATCTCAACTACAGAAGAAAAGAGAAGCTTGAGCCAGTGCTTTGTGCCTTCTCATCCCTGCCGGCAGACTATCCATTGTTCTTCTCTGCAGCACATGGAGGAGTGCTGTGCTCACTGTGACTGTAGCTCTGCAGGAGAGTGTTTGCCTAATGTGCAAAGCCTTGGAAACTCATTCCCCAGCACCACAAAAACAGAACAGTCTTGATGTGCGCATGCATTCCTATAATCCCAGTGCTTGGGAGATAGATGTTAAAGTTTCCAGAGTTCAAGGTTGCCTCCAGCTGCAGAATGGATTTGAGGCCTTGCCTGAGCAACATGAGAGCCTATTTCAATAAAAATAAAAAGATTAATGTTATGTTGAAATGCATACAAACAGCTGGATGTGGTTGTGCACCCTTTTAATCCCAGCACTCAGGAGGCAGAGGCAAGTGGATCTGTGAGTTCAAGGACAGCCTGGTCTACAGAGTGAGTTCTAGGACAGCCAGGGCTACATAATGAGACCTTGTCTCAAAAAAACAAAAAACAACAACAAAACAAACAAAATCATAAGAAATGCAGACAAGTAATTGTTTTGTTTCATATTACATATTAGTGGGCCTTTTGAGGCCCTTGTACACTATAGGGATGTGCTTGACCACTGAGTCCCATATTTAGCCCCTGAAAAATATAGTTCAGAGAATTTTGATAGCCTTTACCTCTGTCGCTTGTTCCGAATTTAGTTGTAGTAACGTTGTGATTCTTTCTTATCTATTTCTATGTTGAAGATGTTTATCATGTTAGAATCAACATTTTAAAATCTTAGAAGTAAAAAGGAGCAAAACATGAACTGAGTGTGCTGTGTAAAGACCGTCTGCCTGAATAACAATGGCCAGTTCCCGAGAGTGATGAGTCAGCTGAAAGGAGAAGGCGGATGTTGTAAACCTCAGAGTGTCCGCGGACACTGGTAGAGCTTAGCCAGTGTCTTCTTACCTAGAAGACGGACATAGTGACAGTGGTGGTGTCCTGCTCTGTATTATATAACATGCCGGAGTTCCAGGTTGTTTGTTAAGCTCAGAAAGTCCATTTTATGATAGATTAAAAATGCATTATCTAGAAAATGGGTTTCCTTAAGCCCATCTAAATACTCAATATTGAATTTATAGTTGTCTGTTTGTGTTCCGTCACTAAAAATTGTCCTGGTCAAAGTACTCTAAGAAATATTCACTTTATATACTTCATTTAAAACATTTTTATCATTTTTCAAATATGTTTGACCCAAAGAAATAAAAAGCCATGTTTTTGTTGTTTGCTTATTTGTTTGTTTTTTGATAAGATCTCACTACATAGTAGCCCAAGCCATTCTCCTGCTTCAGCCTTCCAAGTTCTGGGAGCAGGTGTGTACTGCTGTGCTTGGCCAAAGCTATGTAGCTTCATAATGTTTTTTGTACTAAACTGTAGTTAACTTTGGAGTACAAGTCCTTAATCACCCATAGAACAAAGAATTTTATTTGAGAAGATATATTTTTTTGTCAGTGAACAAAAGCAGTTCCTTAATTTGGTAAAAGTTCTATAAACGTAATCTTTCAAAATTATTCATTTTTATGTGTTGGGGTGTTTTATCTGCATCTATATATGTGGACTGTGAGTGCTCAGTGCCCAGAGAGGCCAGAAGAGGGTGTTGGATCAACTGGAGTTATAATGGTTGTGAGCCACCACGTGGGTGCTGGAAATTGAGCCTGGGTTCCCTGACAGACAGCTAATGCTCTTAACTGCTGAGCCATCTCTTTAGCTCTGTGACCTAATCTTGCAATCTTTAGTAGATACACACCTAGAAGACTGCTAGTGTGTGTAATATGAAGCACTGTCATAGAACAATACTCTCAGCTCAGTTTTGGTTTTGTCTATATTTTTGTACAGGTTGCAAATTGGGAGAAGCTTCTGACTTCATTGTCCGCCAGGGGACACTGATCCAGGTGCCATCCTCTGCAGGGGAAGTTGGTTGTTACAAGATCTGTTCCTGTGGACAAAGTGGCCTCTTGGAGAACTGTATGGAGATGCACTGTATCGATCTCCAGAAGTCTTGTATTGTTGGAGGAAAAAGAAAAAGTGAGTCTTAAGCATACTTGTATTTGGTCTTACTACAGTCTGAGATTGGTTGTCTTCACTTTGCACAAAGAATATTAGATGAATTCTTGCTAAAGAGTACAATCTATGCATCATATATTCTAGGAAAGGACTTTTCAAACTGTACAGAACACTGTGGGGGGTAGAGGGGTGGGAGGGTATTTTATTTGAAACAGGATCTTATTATCTAACCTAGGCTAGCCTGGAGCTCACCACATAGCCTAGATTGGCTTTGAACCTACAATAATCCTCTGTCTCCTGAGTGATGTTATTCCAGGCAGGCACCACCACAACCAGCAAGGACTAGGACTTCTAAAGAAGTCCTCCCAAGAAGAGCCTGCTGGTTAATCTCAGTGAACTCTGACTGTGTGCCAAGCATAATGCCACATCTTTTTGTTTTGTTTTGTTTTTTGAGACAGGGTTTTTCTGTGTAGCTATGGCTGTCCTGGAACTAGCTCTTGTAGACCAGGCTGGCCTTGAACTCACAGAGATCCGCCTGCCTCTGCCTCCCGAGTCCTGGGATTAATGGTGTGTGCCACCATCACCCAGCATTTTCTTTTAAACTCCTAAGCAGGTTGCATAATGCCAAGTCTTGACCCACATTATCTCTTAATTAGCTGAGCCTCTCTTTATGTAGTTATTGCTAGCATTGCTACCCCTGCTTCACAGCTGATGCTCATACAGTTGCCCTGCTGGGCACTGGGGCTCAAGCCTACAATCCCAGCACTTGAGAGACTGAGAGGATTGCTCTGAGTCAGCCACCATAGGTGACAGAGTGAACTCCAGGCCAGCCTGATATATATGGGGAAACTTGGATTGGGAGGGGATAATCTGCGGACAATAAATAGTTTCTAAGAATATACTGCTGCCTTTTAGACGTGAGATATCTGTGAGTTTGAGGCCAGCCTGGTCTACATAGCAAGCTCCAGGACAGCCAGGGCTACACAATGAGACCTTGTCTCAAAATAAATATCTTATTTAAGTCCCTAGTTTATGTATTCATAAGAAGAAGTCATCTTTAAATATTGATCTAAAACTTTTGAGGTACTTGGGGATGGTTCATTTGGCAAAGCACTTTGAGACAAACTTGATTTCCCTATACCCCATGTAAAAATGCTGGGCATGGTGGCGTACATGTGTAATCCCAGTGCTGGGAAGGCAGGAACCAACTCTGAAAAGTTGTGCTCTGACGTGCACATTCATACTGTGACACACACATGCATGTAATAGATTTAAGATTTTTTAAACTTTGAAACAAATTTATGTTGTATTCTAGTGTGTGTGTCTCTGTGTATGTCTGTGTATGTCTGTGTATGTCTGTGTATGTCTGTGTATGTGTGCCTGAGCCACAGCCTATCTGTGGACGTCAGAGAACAACCTGGGGGAATTGGTTCTCTCCGTCCACCATAGGTCCTGGGGATTGTATTCAGGCTTGTCTGCAAACTTCTTATCCACAGAGCCATCTCACATTCCTGTAGTCTATTTCTTAGTACATAATATAATTGGTGTTTTCCTTCTTTCAGGTCATGGAACATCCTTCAATATTGACTGCAACGTCTGTTCTTGTTTTGCTGGCAATTTAGTGTGTTTCGGCCGTCCATGCCTCAGTGAGCACAGTTCAGATGATGACCGTAGCACGTTCACAGGTAGCCACAGGCATCCAGAGCCCGTCCTCCAGGGGCCATCATTCCTTGCGCTCATCTTTCTTCTAGGCATTGCAAGAATTGCCCTAACTGCAAATGTACATAGTAATATCAGTGTCAAATCTGAGTGCAATATGTCATCCTCTCTGACTCTCTGCTTCCCTATGTTTGTAAAGGAGCCCATATGCAGCCCTATTGAGGCAGTCTTAGGTGTCCTTGTACTATCTAAGTTTGTTTCTCATCTGGTTCTTTCCAGCCTTCCTCATACACTGTTTGCATAGGCTCCCACAAACAATACCCGGCACTGCTTTCTCGACTTTACAGTACTTGAGAATATGGTGTTGGGCTGACACAAGCGCCTACAGATGCAAAACCTGGAGGACCTTTCTCCTTTGAAGCAGCCGCTGTAGTGGTATCAGCACTGTTCTCTGGTCTCCTGGTGTCTGCCTTTCCCCAGAACTGACATACCTTTGGTTCCCAGTAAAATGGCATTGGTATTAGGTAGCTCTGCTTGTCCCCATTCTCACCAGTGTAATGGCAGCTCGATTCCTTCTCAGAGGTTGATAGAACACTGTGGGGAAGAAAGACAAGAGGATTTACTAGCCTTGTGCCAGCCCATCAGAAATAAAAAGGAAAAAGCCCTACAGAGTGGTGAGGGCAACAACAGAAGTAGACATGCAGTGTGCCCCACCCCCTGCTGCCATGAGTTCTGTGAGCGCCTTGCTCCTGCAGCTGTTGCCTCTCAGCAGCTCCTGCTCCTCACTGCTCCCTGTCTGCTGTTCATTCTGTCTGGAGAAGCCACAGTAGGATGTGGGAATAGGGAGTGGACTAAAGACTTGGAAATCATTTATTATTTATTATAAATAACATCTAAAAGTGTTTCTGCAAGGACCCATGTTTTCTGTGGTCCCTGCCATTCTGCAGTAACCCAAAAAATACCAGTTTAACTGGCAGACTCTAAGGGATTCCACTAGCCCAAAACTGTACCAGATATTTTTGTGACTTAGTGTCCCAGTATAAACATGAATTAGAGAAAGCACTCATAAAATTTTATCTTTTAACATTCAGGAAATTCCCAAGCTAGACTTCAGTTACTTGATTTCCAAGTATGATCAGTAAAGTGGCAGATCAGGAAAATGAACCTTATCGTTTCTGCCTATAGCCCTCTCTGCCTGGGTCAGTGTTGGAGACACCCTTCTCTCTGCCTGGATCCATGTTGGAGACAACCATTAAGTGTAACATGAGGGCCGGCTTGTTGGGGTATCTGTTCCTGCCTGGTACTCCACAGCCGGCAAGTCCCAGAGAAAATCAATCACACAGAGATCTCTGTAAGTTATAAACTGATTGGCCCATTAGCTCAGTCTACTTATTAGCTCTTATAACATATGTTACCCCATTATCCTTATCTACGTTAGCCATATGGCTTGGTACCTTTTCCAGCTGTCAGCTCACATGTTGCTGCTTCGGTGGTCTGGGCAGGAGTGGCAGAGGGAGCTTCCTGCCTCCCAGAATTCTCCTGTTCTCATTGCATCACCTTACTTCCAGTCTGGTTTTCCCGCCTATACTTCCTGCCTGGCCAATCAGCATTTATTTAAAATATGATTGACAGATTACAGACAATTCTCCCGCACCAATTAAGTAGCAGTGAAAACGACAAAAGAAGTGCCATCTTGCAGAGAAATAACTTTATGTAATAAATATAGAACTTTACTCTCTTTAAGTCTCTATCAGAACCAGATAAGATGGCACACACCTTAGACCCCAGCACTGGAGAGGCTTAGACAGGTGGAGGTCTTAAGTTTGAGGCCAGCCTGGTCTACATGGTGAGACACTGTCAAAAAAAAAACTGTTTTAGGGTTCAGGGATTGTGGGAGAGATTTGTCTTGTTTTGCTTTTGTTTTTTCCTGAGTTTATGTACAATTCCATTTTAACATGATTTGTTAGTGGTTTGCCTTCATCAAGACATATAGAAAGGGGTATGTGTGCTCATTTTTGAGTCTGTTTCCTCCCTTCAGGTCTGCCCTGTAACTGTGCTGATCAGTTTGTCCCAGTGTGTGCACAGAATGGACGCACTTACCCCAGTGCCTGCATTGCCCGCTGTGTAGGTCTCCAAGATCATCAGTTTGAGTTTGGACCTTGTGTCTCCAAGGATCCCTGTAATCCTAACCTCTGCCCAAAAAGCCAAAGGTAAGTTAAATGCTACTGCTTTTCTTCAGCCAAAGACTAGTGCGTATCAAGTCTCTGATGTTCATGCCCCACACGATGAGAGTGCAAAGGGGGGTGAAGCAGTCTGGCTCACGTGTGTAGTCCCAGCACTTGGGGTACTAAAGCTGGAGAGTTCTGGGTTCAAGGTCATACTGTGCTACATGCTGAGAAAGAAAGGCAAAGTTACTGCTGTCTGGAGAGAAAGAGCTGCCCAGAACTCCCTGGCTGCACGATTGGCAGTGCAGATGTAGGAGCAATTGATGCAGTTGAGGCAGGAAGGCCTCAGAGGCACTCAGACACATGCCGCGTGAATGGGTCCCTGAAGAGCAGGAGGGCTGGGAGGAAAGCTGGTGTGGTGGCTGCAGATGGCAACAGGAGAAGAAGTGTATGCCGGGAGCTCCAGGGGTGCTGTAAGGCTGAAACAGAGGAGGGCAATGGCAGGCAGCAAAATGCTCAAGGATGCATTCTTATTAGCTATTCACGGCTTCTACTACAGCACTCATTGTAGGAATGAGACGTGAGAAATCTCAGGAGGTGCAGCTTTACATTACTTGATATTTTTGGACTTGGACTCCCTTCTCTGTAGTCTCACCAAGCCAGATGACAGTGACCTGGCCTTGATGGACTTCTGCACTGTGTGGTCCGCGGGCCAGTGTGGCGGACTTAGATTTCAGCCTTCTGGACCTGTACTGTTTCACCTCTGGGACTTGAGCAGGCCTCGCTCATCCCAGAGTCACAGCTGCTCCTGATGCAGGAGTTTATGCAGAAAGTTGCTTCTTCCTCTTGGAAACTCCGGCACAGAATAAAAGGGGAGACTTCCCTATGCAGTGAAGTGGCAAAGGTTCAGCCACATTTCTGTTGAAGTTCTTTGTCTAGTTTCACTGGTGTTGCCATGATAAAGCACCCTGAGCACAGAAGCAGTTTTGAGAAGAAAAGGGTTTGTTTTGGCTCAGAGTTCCAGGTTATAGTCCATTACTGCAAGGAAACCCAGACAAGAACTTAAGGCACCAATGCGTGGACAAGAGCAGAGGGAATAACTGTCCGCACTGCCCGCTTGCGGCTCCTTAGATCCAGTTCCACTGTTCAGGGTCCAGTGCATGAAATGGTGCTGTCCACACTCGAGGTTTGTCTTTCCACCGTAACTAACGGTCAAGACAGTTTCCACAGATATGGCCAGAGGCCAGCATGTTCTAGGTCATTCCTCTTCCAGGTGATTCTTGGTTGTGTCAGGTTGGAAGGAAAAACCAGCATCATCACATCCATACAACAGAAACAAAACCGAGAGTTTACTGATTGCCATCCTGAACAAAGTTGTCTTGCTTTTACATCTCCAAATAAAGAGGCCTTTCTGCATAGATGGCCAATATAAAGGAAAGTTGGGGGGCTGGAGAGATGGCTCAGAGGTTAAGAGCACTGACTGCTCTTTCAGAGATCCTGAGTTCAATTTCCAGCAACCACATGGTAGCTCACAACCATCTATAATGAGATCTGGTGCCCTCTTCTGGCCTGCAGGTATACATTTAGGCAGAACACTGTTTACATAATTAATAAATCTTTTAAAAAAAGAAAAGAAAACATTTTTTAAATTTAGCTACATGAAAATCACGAATTTCTTTTGGCATGGCAGAGCAGAGAAAGAGCCCTGACAAATCAGTGTGAAGAATATCATCTTCCTGTGAACACTGATGATCAATAATAATGCAGTTTCTCTCCACCCTATCAGCCTCTCTGCCAACACAACAGTCCAGATCAGACCAAATCAAACCTAGAAAAGGCCTAGGTTTAATGGATACGATGCTACCTGATGATTTTCCAGCCCCTCAGAGAGGAGACAGGAAAGGAAGACTGGAAACCACGTGTCTGTTTTCCGGGGGGCAGTTTAAATACCCTGTGGGAGTGGTCTTGAGTATCTCTGGGGGAGGGAGGGTATTCATTTTGTGGGCTTTATTCGAGATGTGGCTGTGTTTGAAGAGAGATGGGGGAGGGGCTTGGTGTGGAACTTCCACCAAAACATCCCAGACTCTTTGGGCAAACGGATGTCAGGGGCTGGGGTGAGGCTTCCACCAGAACAAATAGCTCCATAGAAAATAATGTGCCAAGGAAATAAACACAAAAAGAAATAGAAGTGGTTCTTTAACATCTGGGGTTGGTGGTTTGAATAGATGTGGCCGCATAGACTCATGTGTTTGAATTGTTGACCTATAGGGAGTGGCACTATTAGGAGATGTGGGCTTGTTGGAGAAAGTGTACCATTGTGGGGATAGACTCTGAGGTCTCGTATATGCTCACGTTCACTTCCTGTTGCCTATAGATCAATATGTAGAACTCTCATCTTTTCCAGCACCATGTCTGTCTGTACACTGCCATGTGCCACCATGATGATAATGGACTAAACCTCTGAAACTGTGAGCCAGCCCCAATTAAATGTCTTTCTTCATAAGAGTTGCCATGGTTATGGTGTCTCTTTTTTTTTAACCTCTTATTTTTTTTTTTATGTGCATTAGTGTGAAGGGGACAGATCTTGTGGAACTGTATTTTCAGACAGTTGTGAGCTGCCATGTGGGTGCTGGGAATTGAACCTGGGTCCTCTGGAAGAACAATCAGTGCTCTTAACCACTGACCCATATCTCCAGTCCCGTTACGGCGTCTCTTCACAACAGTAGACCCTAACTAAGACGGGGGAGAATGAGGCCCTTTTTTTTTCTTCTTCCTGGTTAAAACGGGGATGGGAATGTGTTTCTTTATTAAAGTTTAAGTAACTCTATTGTATACAAATCACCAAAATCCAGTCCTTTTGTATAGTAGAAGGTAAATTGGCACATTCAGCAGGTTGCCCCAATAGCCATTCCATAGAGACTTGGGATCCTCTTGCAGTGGCTCTGCCATCTCTACAACTCCACCAGCCTTTATACACTCTGCTTCTGGCTAGCAGATATGAGAAGGGAGGTGATGGAGGACTTTCTTAAGAAGCCTCCATGAGCCACCTAAGGAGGTGACATCATGGTTGCTACTGCCAGCTGCATTCCACTGTCTAGAGGCTAAGTCACTTGGCCTCACCCAGCTACCAGGAGGACCAAAGAATGCAAACTAGATGTATAATCCAAAGAAGACTACGTGAATTTTATGAACATACAGCCAGTTAGCACCAACTTTTAATCTTCCTCATATTGCCAGAAATGTAAATTAAATTAAAATTATAATCGTGTGCCACCTTGAGTCTATTGGAATGGCAAAGAGTTGACAACATAGATTTAGAAAACAGATGCTATCATGTAAGGGGCTGGGAGAGGGTTAGTACATTCTCTCTTGGGGGCAGTTTGGCCCAAACCTGTTTCATTGTTATTATTTTAAAATTGTATGTGGATGAGTGTTTTGCCTGCTTGAATATCTATGTACCATGTGTTTACAGTGCCCTCAGATGCCAGAGGAGGGCATCAGGTCTGGAACTGGAATTACAGCATCTTGTGGGTT